GACATAAGAAGATGAATCAGCTAATGGAGGTGCAGCCTTGCATCGATGTGGTCTGGGTGTGCGTCTCGAGTAAGAAGAGCGACAAGCGCAGAAGGGATTCGAAGGTTTCGAGGGAAAGGCGAATCATGTATGAAGTTGCTGCAGGAAACAAAGAAATTTGTTTGTTTATAAACATTGATACTTTCAGTGTGGTAGTGCAGAACATGAGAAGAATTGTACTCGTACAATGTATGGAACTATTAATTTTTATTAAATTCTTAATCGGATTCTGATAGATAATTTAATTCTACATCGTTTATTTAGAAGATAGTCAATTTGTTTACGAGAGGCAAGGGGTTTTGACCCTATACTATGTTTTCAAATTTTCCTAAAAATGTTGTTTTTTAGAGGTTAGTTAGGGAGTTAACTATATTCTGACGTAGAGAAACTCTAAGAAAGTCAATTAGTTCACTAGATACTGGGTGTTTTCCACACCATGTTTTTTAATTTCCCTAAAATTGCTCATTTTTGAAGATCATTTTAATGCACTTTCAGAAGGGTTGACCGACTGGCCCGGAACTGGCTCATCAATAGGGCATGCTAAGCCTAGCAAGCAACTACGCGCACAGTTTACGATAAGAAAGCAAGAGATGCGCAAAGCCGGCCAGTCGATGGCACGCGGCCTTGTGCGCGAATTGGAGTAGGCACTGTACGTACCTGCGGTCTGCCGAGGTGAGGAACGCAAAGTTTTCGGTTTCGGTGTGGGACGCCTCGCAATTCTTATTGGACATCTTATCTTGTAGAATAGCTTATTTAATGATTTAATATTTAATACTAGAGGTGTTGGATAGGTGAGATTCAGATGGTATTTGCACGCAAAAATGGCGTGGAAGTCAGTGCCATCCCCTTTGTCGGCGCTGTTTTACACCGGACTACTCCGGTGTGGACACTCCGGTTACCTGTGCGTTTCGAGAAGTTTCGTACGCTTCGTGCGTTTGTAGGTTATTGGGCTTTGGGAACCGGTGCTCGCCGCGCGCGAGTTTATCTTCACATTGGTAATCAACGCGTGCATCGCGCATGTCGCGAACACATAGGGCGCTATATTATTTCATTCCTGCTCATAAAATCCTAGAAAATTAATTTTAATATTTAATATTACATTTGTAACCAATAACCAAGGTCTTCTTTCTTCTTCATCTTTAATATTTTCTTCTTGTATGTATTTTAGAAAATGAGTTATTTCATCAGTGAAATATTCTGGCTCAATATCTTTTTCATACTTAGACAATAATCGCTCTACACAATTATTAGTCTCATCACGGCTTAATTTTAAATCAAAGAAAATTTTAAAATCGTTAAGAACATTGATATAGACATCGCCCCTTCGAGTAATTTCTGATGTTAATACATCACATACAATATAAAAAATGTTGATAATAAAAAAATTTCTTGACGAAAATGCTGTATCATTTTTGTTCGTTTCATCATATTTGCGTTTTCTTTGTCTCATTTAGCCTCCTCTTCAACAGTTTCGAAATTATTTCTGACCTCTGTTATAAATTCGTTTAATGATTTTAATAAACTAACACTATTAAGAATATTTACTTTGGTTCCTGTAAGTATTTGCTGGTAATTTCGATTCTCTGTAGGAGTTTGTTCCAGAAAATTGTTAACAATGCCGTCTCAAATTGATCGAACTCTTTTGATAATTTTTTTTGCTTCTAATTTTGAAATTGGTTTTTCATTTTTTTTTCATTGATAATTGAGTCTTAGGGCTAAAACAGCGTCAGCTCTTGCGGACCATCGTGTATCAATTATTCTCTTGATACTTTTAGAATTCTTATCCTTCATGCATTCAGTTAAAATATTCCACCGTCTTGTAGATGCAGCAAAGAAAGTTATATATTTTGCAAAAACATAAAATACTGTAATGCTCCAGAACAAGATTCCGCAGCAGTATGCCCAGCCAAATTTAAAGAATGACTTCCACATGGTATGAATGCAGCTGATTTGGAATGTTGTTTTATGCGTGCCTGTAATCCACTGTACTTGCCAGACATGTTAGCAGCGTTATCATAAGATTGGCCCCTACAGTTTGTGATATCTAATGGTGCTATTCTGAGCAGCACCCGAAGTGCCGTACTGTCGAACGAACGCAGATTGCAATTCTGAGTGCCCAACGGAGGTCTTTTGGAGGGTTCGGGTCGCCTCAATTTTTCGAGCAGCTTGAGGGTGCCGATAGCCTTCGTAACATGTTGTACGCATGCGCTGCTCTCTTGGCGCGGGTGAAACTGCCTTACCGCAGCTCTTCGTTCTCACTCACAACCGCACTCGGTCGTCTGCTGTCTCAGTCTGCCTATTCATCGAAATTGGTAAGTGGAATATTTTGCCGAGCCGTGTGCTCAGCAGATGTGAAAAAAGATGAAGATGACAAAGAATTGCACGCATCGAGTGTATCTGTATTTTTCAAATGCAAAATTCCACGTTTTCAAGCAAAAATTTCAAATTAAAAAAAACTCCTAAAAACAATAAATTTGAGATAAATATTTTGTCAATTTTTCACAAGTATTTGCTGATAATGAGCCAAATACGTAGCATATAAAAGATTATTTATATTTTTTGATTGTGTTTCTTCAAAGGTAATTTAAAAATCAAAACAATGAACAATAACAACTTTTGATTGCGACTTTTCAAACGTCAGTATTGAACCGAAATAGAAATAATAAGTATTAACACATATTTGTTGCATATTTGAATAATTGAAGAACCCATACATTTGAAACTCGCGCGCTTTCTGTCAAATTTTAGGGTGCAGCGGGATTGACTTTAGGTAAAGATATAGATGAGCGCACAGAATACCACTTAAGGCCGATCCATAACTTCGCCGTACGAAGCGTCTTGGAGCTTTCGTACGTTCGTTTGTTAAGTGGTGAACACAGAATCGCACCATAAGCCATAGTCATGTAACTTTCTAAGTACAATTTCTTCTAACGACTCACTGACCACTCTCTGTTTTTTTTTTAATCCAACTACCACCCCAAAAATCTAGATAAAAATTGTAGGAGGATAAACGTCGGTACAACGTGTTCCGCAGATGTGAAAAAATGATAGAAAGACGAAATAATTAATATTCAAAAAAAGAGAGTTACCCGCTATTTTACAACCTCAATGGAATATTCCTCAACTCATCTCCTCCACAGATGTTCGAAATTTAAAAAAAATGGCAATATACTACTCGCATTATAGCTACAACTTTCTAACGCAATATTCAAGAAAAGGTCACAAAAATTCGTGGCAGAAAACATCCAAATTTTATTTTAAACAGTTTGCCATAAAGAAATAAAATCGGAGATAAAAAGTTTTAAGTCAGCTATATATCCGTGACGGTTGCTTTGCGAACACGTGTGAAATGCCGTTTTGGGCGCCAAGTGAAAACCAATACGCTATTCATAAAGGCTGAGGTCAAAACCAACTGATGAAGTATTTGTGGAATTACTATGTCTATATGGGACATATAAGTGCCAGGGGCCCCCCAAGCAGCCGGGGCCCTAGGCGCGCGCCTAGTGCGCCTAGGCCGTAATCCGCCACTGTTTATATTATACTAGTTCTCACCCGGCAAACGTTGTTTTGCCATATATTATTTGTAATTTCTAGATAAATTCTAGTGTAGACAAACAGTAACTTACATATTATAAGTGTGTAAGTATGTAAAACTTGATTAACTGAACTAATCGTGCCAAATACACTTAAAATTAATAATTTTATTATCTAAAATATAAAAATGAATCGCAAAATGTGTTGGTAACTGCTTCACTCAACAACGCCTAGACCAATTTTGGCTAATTGGGGTGTTTTAGTGGATCCCACTAATATAATTTGTTCTTGAAAGGGTGGCGAAAGTTCGTGGAAGCGCCCTCTCAACATTTTTTGCACCGACTATAAAATAGAGAGGAACAAAATCTGCCACATTCCAAATTTTTGTAACAGAACGAAGTCTGTTGGGTCCGCTAGTTATGAATAAAACAGTAATAATTAATAGTTAATATGAGAGTTACCCTGAGATAGCAATATGATAATTGTAAACGTTACTACTACACTTGATACATATACCATAATGATGGTCGAAAACTGTGTAGGGAGTGAGAGAAGTCTTATTGAGACCGACTTCAGTCTCATTCCTTCGAGCGGGATGAAAAAAAATTAAATGACCAAACTGGCTATAAAAATATAGGGGTTGGTGATAAAAAAGTAAATATTTAGAGTTGTATGTATTTTTTTAATGCCACATTATATAAAAATAGAAACAAAATTTTTTGTCTAAAATTTAAAAAAAAATAAAGGGTGAACAACCCTTATCACTTAGGGGTATGAAGAATAGATAGTAGCCGATTCTCAGACCTACTGACTACGCATATAAAATTTTCCTTCGAGCGGGATGAAAAATGATTAAACTACTAAAATGGCTATAATGAAATAGGGGTTGGTGATAAAAAAATAAAAATTTAGGGATGTATGTATTTTTTAATGCCACATAAAAAAATAAAAACAAAAAGTTTCGAACAAAATTTAGAAAAATATTTAAGGGTGGACAACCCTTATTACTTAGAGATATGAAGAATAGATAATATCCGATTCTCAGACCTATTGAATACGCATATAAAATTTTTCTTCGAGCGGCATGAAAAATGATTAAATTACTAAAATGGCTATAAAGAAATAGGGGTTGGTGATAAAAAAATAAAAATTTAGGGATGTATGTATTTTTTAATGCCACATCATAAAAAAATAAAAACAAAAGAATTTGTCCAAAAATTTAAAAAAAGTTAAGGGTGAACAACCCTTATCACTTAGGGGTGTGAAAAATAGATGTTAGCCGATTCTCAGACCTACTGAATACGCATATAAAATTTGGTAAAAATCGGTAAAGCCGTTTCGGAGGAGTATGGAAACAAACACTGTGACACGCAAATTTTATATATATAGATGATTAAGTAATACTTACACATCACGTTTTGAAACAGATTGAAGGATTATAAAGTATACCTGGATAAATTACCAGAGGAAGAACGAGCGCAACTGGAGTTGGACATGGAGAAGAAGAAAAAGAAGACTGAGAAGGTGAAGAAGGAGAAAATTCTTCTTCACCTTCTCAGTCTTCTTTTTCTTCTTCTCCTTTTTGTACTTTTCTTGTATCACTTTCAATTTCTTTTCGTACTCAACGCGATCCTCTTTGCTCACTTGATTCCATTTTGCTGCAATGGTTTTCACACGATCCTTCGCAGCTAATCCCGATAACTCACCCGATGACATCAATTGTTGTGAAAATAAGATGTTGGTGGCTTCGATGGTTTACCTTCGGATTTATTCAACATTTGAAGCCCTTCTTTGTTGAGGATTGTCTTCAATGGCTTCACTACTTCAGTAGGATGTGAAAAGTTATAAACTTGAACTTCGTCCAAGTACTTTCTATGCTCGGCAACTGCTTGTTTAATCCATGGCACTTTCTTTTTAGCCGACATTTTGCTCCATGCTTGTTTCGACGCCATTTTGTATGCGCTTTTATCAGCGACATGTGCCTCTTTGCTGAGGTGGTCTTCCAGAAACAGTGTGAATGCAGTGCGTGGTTTCTTTGGTCCTGGGTATTTGCGCATGCTTACGGCAGCACGGTCCAAGTAGCTTTGTTTAGCCGCTTCGGCCTATCCAATAAATTGCGTATCATACAAAAAGAGTATCCGATGGCCGAAGGAACATCACTCACGTTTTACCTCTGCCTATAAACAATTCGCATTTAACGAACGCCGCACATAGCTCGCGCACAAGGGAAGGAGCATTTAGAAATATTACGTAATGACGCGAAGAAATTAAGGAACTCAAATTATTCTGAAGAAAATGTGCGTGCAGATCACCCGACGACAAATATGAGACTGACGTGGTAGGCAAGCCAAGCGCGTGTCGACCGCACAAAAATTGCACGAGATAAGAAAACTTGTTTGTTTGTAAACACTAAAACATTCAGTGTACAGTGTGCAGAACATGAAAAGAATTGTACTCGTACAATGCATGGAACTTTTAATTTCGATTAAATTATGAATCGGACACCAGTAACGAAATTATAGATTAAAGCTCTATTGACGTGTAAACACCTATTTTCTTTAAAATTGCAAATTGACACTGTACGTTCAATGTTAGGATAATAAATACTAAACAGTTCTTTTAATTCTACATCGATTATTTTAGTAATTTTTTTTCTAAAATTAACCGTTTAGGCCCTATTTGCAAATTTTCGTGAAAGCTGCATTTGACATAAAAAAGAGAAATCTTTTGCTTTTTTTATGACGAAATATTTTATTTCCACAAAAACAGATTCTGTTTTACCGAAAATAGCAGCCAAAGAATTAAGAACGCAACCGACAGCACAGGACAATCTTAATCTTTTTAATTTGTACATTAAACAAAAACGAAAAATCGAATACGTATTGCAAATCAACGGTAGGTAATCAAACAGACACAAATATGAAATACGCGTATGATACAAAAAGAGTATCCGACGGCCGACGGAACATCACTCACGCTTTACCTCTGCGTGTGTACAAGCTTTATTTTGAAGTGTAATGGGATTAATTTTGAAATAATTCGATTCGAAAAATGCATTTGTTTTTCGTAGACCTTTTTATTCTTGATATAATCGCCAAAAATATCGACCCTGTTCTTCAACCGAAAAATATTTTAACACAAAATATTTTCAAACAAATATTTTCCACACCATGTTTTCAAATTTTCCTAAAATTGCTCATTTTTGAAGAGCATTTTAAGGCACTTCAAAAAGGGCTGGAAGGTATGAGGTGTATGCATCGTGTAGACAAACTCCTGACTCTCTTCTGGCGTAAAGAAACTAGAAGATAGTCAATTTGTTTACGAGATACAGGGTGTTTTCCACACTATTTTTCAAATTTTTCTAAAATTGCTCATATTTGAAGGGCATTTTCGGGCACTTCCGAAAGAGCTGAAAGGTTGAAAAGGTATGCGTCGTATAGATAAACTCCCTGACTCTATTATGGCGTTGAGAAACTATAAGAAAGTCATTTAGTTCACTACATACAAAAAACAGAATGTTTCCACAGCTGGTTGTCAAAATTTCCAAAAAATTTTCATTTTTGAAGGGCATTTTAAGGCACTTTCAGAAGAGGTGAGAAGTTGGAGGGTATATACAGTTGGAGGTATTATATTAAGTATTCCAGAGTAATATGTAATGTAAAATATTTCAAGCACTTATTTATTAAACTTTATTAATTTATAACGCAACCTCAATTGAATCATCATATAAAATGGATCCATTTTTATTCAACAACATCTATAATATAATTGAATATAAATATTAATAATTACGCATACCTTCTTAACTTAATATTACCTATTTGCTAACCAGCGGCGTAGCGTGCCTTGTCGGGGCCCCGTATAAAATTTTTTTTGGAGGCCCTTATATGGAGGTAAAGGTTTTTTCTTACACACTTTGGGGGCCCCGTATAATTGATACGGCAAATACGGCGGTAGCTACGCCCCTGTTGCTAACGCAAACAGAATGTGCATATTACACACGAATTTGTGAATGTAAAACTGCCTTCAATTTATGTCATAACTGCCCAAAAATGGTATAAATTAGAGTGGTCTCTTATACCAAAGCATCAGTTTACTTCCACTATTGATTTGACAAACATCAATTAAACACCTTAAAAAATATCAAAATGTTCAAAGTTTTTGTTCTTGTAGCCCTAGTGGCCTGCGTTGTTGCTGAGCATCATGCTTCTTCCTACGCATCTTTCAACAATCACGTAGAGCATTCATATCACCACGATGATCACCATGATCATCATGAACCACATGTAAATTATTTAAGGTACATATTACGGTAATATAATAAAAGTGATTGTGTCCTTTACTTAGCACCACCCAAAATACGAATACAAATATGGCGTCGAGGACCACCACACCCATGATATGAAATCAGCCGAAGAGGAACGCGACGGGGATGTCGTCAAGGGATGGTACAAATTGGAGCAGCCCGATGGCAGGACCCGTATTGTTCATTACACCGCTGACAAACACAATGGTTTCAATGCTGATGTCAAATATTCTGGTCATGCTGAGCATCCTCATCATTATTAATGACAAAATATTAATTAATGTAGGAAAATATATGCAGTGCGTGGTTTCTTTGGTCCTGGGTACTTTTGGACCACTTCAGTCTTGAGTGGATGTTTTTCATAGAATTGTTCGACTTTACGTTCGTATTTGCGCATGCTTACGGCAGCACGGTCCAAGTAGCTTTGTTTAGCCGCTTCGGAAAGTTGTTTGTACTTTTGACCACCAATGCGTGCGATTTCTGTGATTTTCGCGTCTTTCGTCTCGCGCATAATGTCAGCTTTAGCCTTAGAAGGAGAAAATTCTTCTTCGCCTTCTCAGTCTTCTTTTTCTTCTTCTCCATGTCCAACTCCAGTTGCGCTCGTTCTTCCTCTGGTAATTTATCCAGGTATACTTTATAATCCTTCAATCTGTTTCAAAACGTGATGTGTAAGTATTACTTAATCATATAATATAAATAAAAGATTCACATGTCTGCGCTAAATCGCGTTCGGGACTACTTCGAGACGAAGCTCAAGGTGAGTGTAAAAGTAGAAGAAAATGTACCTGGTGAGACTGTCGACGATGATGATGAAGATGGTGACGAGGAGGGCGATGCCGAAGCGGAAGCCAATGACGATTCCGGCGAATCCGAGAGTGAAAGCGACGCGTCTTCCGACTAACTCGACTAAAGATTGTTACTCGTTTCTGTTTGTACTTGTACTTTTTAACTCGTTTGATATTTTATCCCTTCTTTTTTGTATGTATTAATAATGATAAGTTGTCCTGACAGAGAGTTTATGACGATTCAAACGATTGTTATCACACAAATTTGTGTACAGAGTATGTAAGATGAAGAAATCCATTGATTCTTGAATATAACACAATTTTCAAACAATATGACCTTGGTTATTGGTTACAAATGTAATATTAAATATTAAAATTAATTTTCTAGGATTTTATGAGCAGGAATGAAATAATATAGCGCCCTATGTGTTCGCGACATGCGCGATGCACGCGTTGATTACCAATGTGAAGATAATTTCAACATTTTTTCATTTTTTCGACTAAGTCCAAAATTTTTTCAAAGTCCAACAAAATTCAATATATAATGAAACTTAGTCGATAAACTTATATTTAAAGCCGAAATACATGTACTGAGCATATTGGAAGACTTTGTTATTTTTTCAACTTCGAGCAAACTACCTGCTCCTATAGGGTAAAAGTACAAAAATACGCCAATCGTGCGACCTAATCTGAGTGACCGTAAAAGTCGATTTTTTTGGGTTCAGGAGGTTTTTGCGGCGGCTTAGGATTCGTTAAAATTTCACGAAATTTTTAGCCGAAAATCAAAACCTCTCGAAAAACTTAGAAAAATTTTCAACTTTTTTCGTTTTTGCGGCTAAGTCCAAAAATCGACACTTACATTACCTACATTACCTACTTACATTTAAACTTAACCTACAGGATATTGTTCATTGGTAGCAATTTATTTAGTGTCTACATACGATAGAATTGGTAAAAATATTAAGTGGTAATTATTGTACTTTTAGGAAAAAACGGTACAAAAAACCTAAATTTAGTATTCCTCTAATACTTGAGGTGAATCAGTCTATGCCATTTGGCATTTTTGGTTTATTCATTAAATATGTTTAATGTTTGGTAAGGCAATTTATGTTTGAAATGTCCTGAGTTATTATTTCTTAGATTGGTGATGTTTCTTATGAGTGTATTATTGTTACATATCGTGTTAGAGTAAAATTTTTCTGACAGTTCGTATACGTGTGTTTTTAACATGGTTACATTTGCGAGGTTATGTAAGTGTGCGATATTTGTATATATATCTTTATTTAATGCTAGCCTAAGGCACTTGTTCTGGAATATTTGTAGTCTTTTAAAGTCGGTATTAGAAATTCCGCACCAGATCGGGGCAGCGTAGGTGAGGATAGGTCTAATTAGCATTTTGTATAAAATTAGCTTGTTTTTTGTTGATAACTTGCTGTAGCGGCACATTAATGGATAAATGCTTGATAATGCTCTTTGGGCTTTGGTCAGTGTGTTATGAATATGTTTTTTAAAGTTCAGTCGTTTATCAAGAATGACACCCAGGTATCTCACTTCGGAGCAGATTTTACTTCTTTGATTTTGCAGTATTGGCGGGGAGAGGATATTGCAGTTTTTAACTTTTCTGCTGAAGGCTATTGCTTTAGTTTTTGAGCCATTTATTGTTATTTTCCATTTACTGAAGTACGCTCCTAGTGTGTTCAAATGATCGCTTACTTTACTTAAAGCAGTAGCTGCGGTGTGTAACCATTGTAGTGGTTTTGTAACATGTTATTTTTGTGATTTTGTGAAATGTAATATTGCTGCATATGAGAGAGATATGGCAGAGATGTGGTCAGAGATGACCGAGTGATTAAAATTTTCGAACAAGATTCTGAGATTTACTTTGTTTTACAGAATAAGCCACACGAGGACGTGTGTGCGCAGGATGGCCGTGTCGGATTCGAATACGAACAAGGACGCCATCTAGACATAAGAAGATGAATCAGCTAATGGAGGTGCAGCCTTGCATCGATGTGGTCTGGGTGTGCGTCTCGAGTAAGAAGAGCGACAAGCGCAGAAGGGATTCGAAGGTTTCGAGGGAAAGGCGAATCATGTATGAAGGGACTCACTCTGAGAGCACCGTTGAGCGCGCACCCAGAACTCATCCCGTTACGCCGATTCAATTCGTTCTGTTTAATCTAAGACATACTTTGTTTTGTAATAAATGGCGCGTAATTTAAATTGGAATGTTGTTAATGTAGTTGAGGAGGAGGTGTATCCGACATACACATATATCGTGTCACACAATATACACAGATGTTCCGTGAAACACGTGGTTGGGAATGTGTGTTCTTGAGTTGTTTGAGTTGCTCACAACACCAAAGCATCACTTTAATTCGATCATCCATTTGATAGACGTTAAACGTATTCTAACACAAAAATGTTCAATCTTTTTGTATTCGTTGTTTTTATTGCCAGCGTAGTTGCTGAGCATCATGCTTCCTCTTACGCATCGTTCAATAATCATGTTGATCATTCTTATCACCACAATGATCACCATGATCATCATGAACCACATGTAAACATTCAAATGCATTTGTTTTTCGTAGACCTTTTTATTCTTGATATAATCGCCAAAAAAATCGACCCTGTTCTTCAACCGAAAAATATTTTAACACAATAATTCGACCCTGGTTATTGACCAAAAAAGTTTGAAGTAAAAAAGTTTGATCCTGTTTTTCGACCGAAAAATTTTTAGCAAAAAAATATGACCGAAAAATTTTTCCAAAAAAATTCGACCGAAAAATGAAATTTATTGGACAAAAATAGCGATATTCGATTGCGATTTTAAGACATTTCTAAAGGGTGTATGGGGTTACAAAGGTATGCATAGTATAAAGGGTCTCTAGAGTTTTAACATGACGTAAAGAAACTATAAGAAAATCAATTAATTCACGTGATACAATGTGTTTTCCACACCATGTTTTCAAATTTTCCTAAAATTGCTCATTTTTGAAGAGCATTTTAAGGCACTTCAAAAAGGGCTGGAAGGTATGAGGTGTATGCATCGTGTAGACAAACCCCCTGACTCTCTTCTGGCGTAAAGAAACTAGAAGATAGTCAATTTGTTTACGAGATACAGGGTGTTTTCCACACTATTTTTCAAATTTTTCTAAAATTGCTCAAATTTGAAGGGCATTTTCGGGCACTTCCGAAAGAGCTGAGTTTGTGAGGGATTGTATGTCGATGGGATTTATTCTATTGTTAGGATGGTTGTAAATTGAGAGAATAGTCAGACCGTTATCCAATTTGATACCGATGTTTTCTATAGTACTTGTAATAGAGTCTGTTTGGCTATACTTTATGCCCGACTTGATGACAATTGCCACTCCCCCCGATCTGCTGGTATTATCATTTTTGACTAAATTGAAGCCGGGGACTCACGGAGATCTTGTACTTTATTTTTAAAACCGTTAGCGTTGGTGATTTCATTGTGCTTTATGTTATTGTTGGCGCTTGTAAATATTTCTAGTAAAGTTAAGTTATCAGGTTTAGCTTTTAGCTTTTTGATTGTGGAGTTAATTGTTTTGAGGAAAGACAGGAAATCTTCCAAATCTATTGATTCTTGTAGTATTTTTAATTCATACAACACATTACCAATAAAAAGTAAAAGTAAAAGTAAAAGAGGGTAATGGGGGTCACTTAAGGGAGAACTCAAATATAATTTAAATTATAAGCAAAATACTTATTGCAATCGCTTATAAGCATTGTTTACTTAAATACCTATTATTTGAAATAATTTTCAGTCACTTTGACAATCAATTTTGGATATTATTAAAGTTTAAAAAAAAAACAGATTTGACTCCCATTACACCGACATGCGGGTAATGGTGGTCACCCTGGGGACAATCGGAATCAAACGAAATCTAGCAGATATCGCAAACATAATATTCCGCAAAGTCCCACCCAGTGCATTTCACATGAGCCCATAGCCCAAATGAAGTGCTATGAACCACATTTAATTGTTTTTTTTTAATCGTTGCACATTAGACATCAGTTTTCCAAATATTCATCCATCGCCCTGGCATAAGTCATCAGTGCCAATATAGGAATCATAAGTTTTGTTACTTTCCTGCCGTATCGTTTCTGCATGAAGGCTATTGAAAAATAAGTCACATTGCTTTTTATAGGCCATTTAGAGTGGACTAAAGACAAAAACGTCCATTGGGAGTCGCATGACTCCCATTGCCCACAATTGCACTATTGTGAAAAAAAAAAACAAAAAAAATATTTCTTCAAAACATTAATGTAATCTGAACTGCACATCACGATTTTGAATGTTTAACTAAGACTATATAAAAGTTTCATTCGAATATTGCAAGATATTCGACACTTATCTTCTAATTTGCGTGGACGTAAAATTAGATCAGCGGAGCTCAAAAATAAAATATTGGCGTATCTCAATGATACACGCACCGATTTGCATGATTTTTTGGGGGTGGCACTGGGGGGCCAGAACGGAGGTAGGAACGCCGTTTACGCGGTACTCGTAACTATTGTTTCGTGGATATATGGGTGACTCCCATTACCCTACTCTCCCCTACCTGATGACGTTGGTGCCCATTGGTGTTGGTTCGTTTGTTGCATGGCTGGAGTGGTTGTTGTTGTTTGCGTAGGATGGTAGTTCCTAGCAGGAAGTGTCGGAAATAGTTTGCTGTCTCGGACATTTGGAGCAGCAGGTGGTGGTGATCTATCCCTTTCCCGTTGTTGTTGACGCTTCTCAAGGATCTTGTCGTAGGACACTTGAGTTTCGGTCGGTCGTTATCCATGTCGCCTTCTTCCGGTTCTTCGGATGGGTGGTATAGTTTTAAATCTTTTGGAAACGAGCAGTCCCTCGAGAGATGTGGTCCTGCGCATTTCATGCAGCGCGGTGGTTTCCTGCAGTTGGAGCTGCCATGCCCCCATTCCTAGCACGTGTGGCACTGAGTTACTTCTTTTTTTGACTTGTAGTTTTGTCAGTTGCAGGAGTTGTTATTGATATGCCTTACTTTCTGCGTGAGGATCTTGATGGTGTAGCTTGGTGGGCACGTCACCATGAAGAGGATGTCTTTTGTGTTTTTCATGCGGAAGCACTTATCGACTTCCAGGCCTTTCTTAATTAATTCCTCGCGGACTTGTTTTTCAGAAAGGTTTAGCACGAGTCCTGTGAGAACAAATGCATTCTTTCTTTGGGACTTGGGTGTAAACGTGTGGACGTTTTGTCCCTCTTTTATTGTGCTCATGTCCGGACGATATTTAATTATGAAATTGTCATGATTTAAAATTGATTTTATATAAGGACACATTTCCTCGTGTTTGGATTTTCCATCAAATATTATCGGCGGAATTTTTTCATTCTTTGGTGGAGTTTTTACATTGTCAGAGGCCAGCTCGGTGTCCATTCCATGCTCGTTTGTTTCTTGGGCTGAGCTTGTGCCAGCGGCGATGGTATTCAGTACCTCGAATTTGTTGGTACTCACTATTGTTTTAATTGTTGGTGGCTCGGTGATACGAATTTTCGCCCCGCGTTGAGTTTGAAATCCGTCAGGATCAAGCTGGATCGAAGTCCGTTTTGTTCTTTGTGGAAGATTACGTTCCACTGGTTTCACCGGACACGGGAGAATATTAATTTCACTCATGTTCGGCATGCTGCCGGCACCCGAGCGGGGGCGGACCGTGTTTGAAAGCGTTTGGTACTTAAGGGCGCGCACTGCGATACGACTGCTCGCTACGACGGTCGGAGCGAGTCTAGCAACATGTGCTACTCACCTGAGAACAACAGCATACATATTCTACACTGTACTATACTATGCTATACAATGGTGTATTCTTAGAGTGCCACATGACTTAATACTAATCCTGAAAACGAATAAACACTAGGCACGCATGTAAGCAAGAATGTAAAATTAAATTATCCTTTATTAACTGAATCATTGACAATTATTATAAAGCAATTATATAGTAACTGGAAAACTTAAAAAGTTGAATAAAAGTAAAGTTTTATTTGATGTTACTTAGTCCGTTGTTCTCCTTTTCATATAGGACTAAAGTGCACAAACACGTTTCCGCAAATTGTATGTAGAATTGATGATACGCACTTCTTTACTATTCCACAACGATTTACGATTCCAAATGTACACTCTTGTACTCAAGTCAAACAAATAAATTTAACTCCGGTAAGGATCCAGTCACCGGAGCATATCCGACGGACGCCACGCGCGCACCGCAAAGAATCACACAAATCACTCAAACCTGATGTGGATGAGGACACTTGTATTGATTTACAATGGTTTTAATAAAGTATCGTTTTACAACGATAACTTGTGAGGGTAAGCGCACAGTACAGTGTTTACGTTTTGCTTACTATAAATTAAACAATGTTGACCAATAAATCAAATAGGAATTCGCAGGCACTGAAATATTATTTTCGATTTTCGATGAAAAGCTTTTCATCTATTAGAACTAAACAGAGCCCATTTCAAAATCTGATGAAATGCATTAAGTTTCTATTAGGAGCTGAGAAAAAGACAAAATACACGCAGTGGTCACCACAGCACAGACTAATCAGGAAAATGTATAGACAGCCCAAACGAATGCTTCTGATATTTGCGTCATCTAGTATCGGCAACACAAACAATTGACAGTAGCAAGAGGCGTGCTCACTACCGCCATCTAGTTTCTGCGATTCCAACTAGCACTCTGCTGTAGGAAACTGCATTGCAGCTACTAAGATTTGAATAAATAAATTATTCGGACACACTGAAACTCAATACCCTTTCAAAAAATGCCATTTGTGAGGCTTTCCCTGGAATAAATCCGAAAAATCAATAATGATACTGATAAAGAATATCAATAGATACAGTCTGAATCGAATACGGTGATCCTACGAAGACGGGTTCAGTTGCCAAAATCCTAAAATCATCCAAAATTTCGCCTTCGATACACAAAAATTGCATTCAAGTGCCATCTATAGGTGTTATTTACATAAGCTAGGAATGAAAATAATAAATAAAATTATTATGTTTTAGTATTCCGGTGTTAGTAGCAAACAAAATTAGTAACAAGAACTAGCTAAGTTAGTAGAAAGAACTCTAGAAAGGATTCCCAATTCCCCAGCTAATAGTAATTCGATATTTCAGTATTGAACAAACATTCCAACACCTGTCCTATTTCAGATATGTTAAAATAAAATCCACAAACCGATGTCCCCAAGCAGGCCGCAAATTTGTAGGTATTTATTAGTATTCAGCACCACACAAATAAGGAGTTACTTTTGAACTGTAACACAAATAATTTATTAAACCTGACACAGACACAACGACTTGTAGGTATATTGTAGAAATTTCCAATACATCATGACTAATACTTAAACATTAATTGTGTGTTAAATATTTAATATATCAATTCAAACCAGAATGTAAATGCACAAATAATTCATAATAAAATTTTACAGAATTCAACTAAGTTCTAATGCAACTAGTAATTTCTTGATTCAGTGAATTATTCATGAAATCAAGGGAAACATCATCAAGGTGATTATCAAAATCATACAAATGCTCAAACATTCGTCCCTCCACAAGTGATGAACATATTTCAAGTGTTTCATCTTGATTTAAAGATACTCTTTGAATGTCAATTGGCTTGTACTTTCCATCAGAGTGTTGAGCAACTCTCAAAGCAATATTATCCATATGAGTAAAGTTCACATTCTGATTGTCAACAATTACCAAACATGCATTTGGAAAATACTCTGCAATCTTATCAGAAATCCTATGAATGGATTTGTCAATTGATGCTTCCTTATAGTTCTCATGTGCAACATAGTAACCAGAAATAATGTACCCCTGTTTTGTGATTTCTCTTTCAATCTAAAGTAAAAGATAAAGTATTAGTATGAATAAATTTGATCTACAACAATCACAGTTGACAAATATTATCCAGAAGTTAATTATGGATGTCAGTACAAAATTGTTCGAAAAATTTACCTGTGTTAATGCAATTTCAGCCATGGGAATCAAGTTGATTGCAATGTGGAACAGAGGCACTGCATCCACAAATTCAATGTCTTTCCCTTTACCAGCACTTGCTTTTGATAAGAGCAGTCCATTCACTGAACAGTGAGGATACTTAGCTGCATGCAACATGAGTTTGCTGTACGCTAAACAGCTGAATGTGATTTCAGTCATCTTCACTTAATTTTAGTTTGTACACGATGCAATCAAACACTTTTAATTAATAATTAAAACTTCCGCAGGCCTAGCAGGAATTGTGTTGTCATTAAATGTTTAACCTGCAAACAGGATGACAAAAGTAATGACAGCGACATCTTTCTCAGCTGGTGTACTACTTTTTCAAATGTTCAAAACCTAAGCAAACAAAAAGGAATTACCATTATTCATATCAAAGCCAAAGTCAAATATAAAAATTACAGCGTTTAAATGTTGCTCTAAACTGCAACAATATTCATGTATAATATTCACATTATTATTTTAACTGATTAGAATCTGGTATAACCTAAATTTGAGATTTTTTTATATCTAATCATGACCAATATTGATAATTTCATTTCAAATTTCAAGTAGTTTCGTTGCTTACAAGTAGTTCATATATAAATATATAAACTCACCCATTATTTGTGTTGCCAAGCGAGCCTAAATGTCGAATGCAAAAGTGGTCATCGTCGGTGCTGGAGCGGCAGGGATCGCCTGCGCGACAAGACTTCTTGCCGCAGGATTTTCTAAGGTGTTAGTTCTGGAGGCAGAAGATCACATCGGTGGACGCGTTCACTCAATTCCATTCGGTCGTGCTAAGGTTGATCTGGGTGCGCAATGGTGTCACGGTGAAGACGACAATATTGTATACCAAATGGTAAAGGATTTAAATCTACTGGAAACTTCAAGGTGTACCTACAAAGATAACACTTTTTATACATCTGATGGGGAGGTGGTGGACAGGGAGCTTACTGACAATTTGTTTGGTTACGCGGCTGAGATTATGCGCGACATTCAGGCTGATAGTTCATCTATTGGGCATTATTTTATCAAAAAGTAAGTAGAAACTATGGAATAATAAACAATTTTAAAAGTTTTCAGAGAAAAATTCATGAATAATCATGTTTTTTATAATTTAAAATAAATAAGAATAAATTTAAGCAAAATTGCGTATCAAATTACATAATAAACCGCGCTGAATCATCGCATTTCTATAAAAAGAAACATCGTATAAAAACAAACAAATTGACTATTGTGCATTTCAGTTTTATCAAGAAAACAATCGAAAATTTCGGCTCCAATGACCATTGCAATGAAATTGCTGTAATGTTCATACATTGGTTCCATAAATTAATTCTTTGTTATGATGCTGCGCCATCTTGGTTTGATATTTCTACAAAAGGCTTAATGAATTACAAAGAATGTGATGGAGATCCATTATTAAACTGGAAATCAGAGGGTTATATGCGATTCTTCAAAGTTTTAATGGGAGAATACGAAAAGAAGTTACTAGAACATTGTCTTGTCTTAAACAGTCCTGTCAAAACTATTGTGTGGAATGATGGCAACCATCTTTTGCAATCAGTCTTGCATTGTGAAGATGGTAGCTTCTATAATGCTGATCACATCGTAATGACAACATCTGTTGGTGTATTAAAGGAAAAACATAAGAACATGTTTATTCCAGAGTTACCTCTATTTAAAGTCAATGCCATAGAAGGGCTTGGTTTCGGTGTGGTTGATAAGATTATGATAAAGTTCAACCAACAATGGTGGCAGGATGAGACTTGTTTCTGTTTCCTATGGAAGGAAACTGATAGGATGAATGTTTTAAATCAGTTTCCCATTGGACCAATGAAGGTATGCAGCTTATTATTATTGAACAAACTAAATAAAATTTGATATAATTTTTAGGATGGTCGATCCTGGCTTGAGAATATATTTGGTTTCTTCGTGATTGATAGCGATCCCAACATACTATTAGGTTGGTTGTTGGGAGATTTTGCTAATGATGCAGAACAACTTGCTGACAAGCAAATTCAAGATGGCTGCATGTATTTACTGAACAAGTTTTTGGGCGATCGTTATGACATTCCAGAACCAGAAGAAATTTTAATGTTAGTATATGAAGTTTAAAGTTGCACAGGAATATAATGTTTTATTTATATTTATAGTACTAGATGGTATTCCAATGAAAACTTTCGAGGATCCTATTCCTATCGCAGTGTCGATGGCGAAAACAGCAATATAACTAACAAAGATTTAGCCGAGCCAATCATGAACCAAAAACAAAAGCCGACTATACAATTTGCAGGAGAAGCGACACACCCGTATTACTATTCTACTGTTCATGGTGCAGTGGAGACGGGATATAGGGAAGCTGAGCGACTTATTTCATACTATCAGTAAGTTTAAGTTTAAAATTAATTTTACTTAACACTGCTTTATAATAAACTAATCATGTTTCTCATGTAATCATGTTTGTTCTAGGAAAAATGAAGACCCTATTAACGAAATTAGCTCTATATTGGCATCCAAGATTTAGACTGTGATTATTGAATGTTATTTATGTGTTAATAAAAACATTTATTTTTCTCTTAAAGGAACTATGCATATTTCTACGGAATAACCACGTTTTTCTTTATCTGTTTGGCACCATTCCAAGCCATGACGTAGTATTGTTTTGAAATCAGTGTATTTGTTCGGTTTAGTTTTAGATAATATTTATAAACAAGTTAGATGTTCTGCAAGCAGATGTACTTACACCCCACATTTTCAAATCAAAACCGGCTTGTATTCTGTCAGATGTCAACACTACCGCCACCATTCGCAGCTCCAGCAACTTCGCATCGCGTTGTTTTGTAGATCAATTTTACGACTTGCACTTTGCACACAAACCACCCACGCACCAACCTAGTCCTTTCCCAAAACTGCACAATCCCGTTAAAAATGTGAACAATCATGAGCCAAAATGACACCATCTCCAAAAGTGTCGCCCAACTCTATCAGAAATATGCCGAGCAACATGATGTGCACGTCTTACAAAAGATTCTCTCACGCGAGGAAACCAAAAAAACAAACGTATCAAGGTTATATCTGTTCACGTTGAGTTTGTTTACTGTGATAACACTTATCGCAGCGGTTTATTTTGGTAACGACGCGCTGGAATGTTTATTGAGCTGGCTCTTCGGCATACGATGCATTATTCCAAACAACTACTTCGTTTGGGAGGCGACGCGTCCTATTTCTGACTGCCAATTTTGTATTAATGTTACAAAACCTATCATATTTCAAAATGCCACAAGAGATGAATTTTCACAATATGCCTATACTTCCAAGCCTGTGGTAGTCAAACAGGCGTTTTTACACTGGCCGGCGTACAAAGTCTTCGACTTCCAGTTTTTTAAGAATTTGTATGCAAGATTTGAAGATGGTGTTAGAAGTGTTGATGAGGAATGCCAATTTTTACACTTTAAGTCTGATTTTGTGTCATTACAAGATGTCTTTGAGATGTCTCATGCCAGAAGTAAGAATTTACCAGATGAAAAATCCTGGTATGTTGGTTGGTAAGTCTTTAAAACTTACTTTTTAAAAGTTTCACAGTGCTTTTGTGATGTTTAGGGGTAACTGCCATCCTCAAATTTTAAAAGAACTTCGTAAATTTTATACCAAACCGCAATTCTTGCCAGAAGATTGCGAAATGCCCGCCAAAGATTACGTTTTCATGGGTTTTGATGCGGGCGCAACAATGCATGTAAGTAAATGCTTCTTTTACCGCTTTAAAACATTTTTAACATGAATTAAACCGCTTTAGTTGGATTTTATTAATCGTCTAATGTGGCAAGCTCAACTGAAAGGCTCAAAAACCTGGAGATTACTGCCTTCCAACGAGTGTGAAGATGTTTGCGCACCCGTAACGTTTAAAGTGGAACCCGGTGATGCAGGTATCCATAAAATATAATATTTAATTAAATATTTAACACAAAGTAGAATAGCAAGAATAACTTTCTTCTTACTTGGGGTCTAATTACGTGTTTTGCGTATTTGTTATAGTATTAGTAGATACGAGGGTCTGGTACCACGGGACGACAATAACACCGGGTGAATTTAGTTTGTCGATCCAATCCGAGTACGGTTAGTCGACTAACACGGTGGCCTGGTTCTTCGCAGCAACTGCAATGCTCAATTAAAAATGCCAAATTTGCCCTTAACCCAAAAAAATTACCAAAACCATTATGTTACCAACTTTTTGTAGTCGTAGTTTTAGCGGATTTTTTTAAGGTACACAGTTGTTTTAGTGCCATATTATTATTAGCCATTAGTTATATATAATCATGTCTTCGTTTTTCATAGCTCTCATATAAATTTAATTTATATGTATTAACCACATGTTTGTATTATTAACTCATTCATTAATTTCATAATCTCTCCGCTCTTTATAAACCAAAATCACACGAAATTTCACGGTCTCGATATTAGTAAAAACTAAATTCGAATAAATCGAAGCCCTCTTCGTACAATTGACTTTTTTTCTTTACTTTTGTGTCGTGTTAAGTTTAAATGCACGCATGTCACACCACGTGTAGTCATCACTCATCACAAAACTTATTAAAAATACATACGAGTTTGCTTCCGCAGTCGAGAGGGTTGAGTGGCTGCACTCTCTTGTCTATCACATATTTACAGAGCGTAGGCAAACATTAAATTGTCGCGCGTTTGTGTGACCGGCGGTCGATGTTCGAGGAAGTAAAGCAACTGTGTGAAAAATGAGAAATACTGATGCAGCCAGCGGCGGTGTATTTTCATTCCAACTGCCATTGGCCCAACACGGCGTTCTTTATCGCTTCGACATACTGGGCGGGCACCCAGTAGATCCAATAATGTGATGCTTCTGTTGGACCTATTTGTAAACCCTTAAAAATAGAAATAGAAATTAATTCGCGCTATTTTAGTTCGCTTTATTTAGTTTTGTTGTTTCTTACCACAATATGATATTCCTCATGTTCGGTAATCGCTTCCGAAATAACATTTTTAATGGATGCCATCCGTAGTTTTTCAGTGCGCTCTTTGGTACTGAGCCAGAGCTGGTCGGCTTCAAGCTTGAAAGTAAGCCGTATCTTACTTCCATGCTTGTTGAGCATACCGCTGAGGGGCACCATTGGCAAGCTCTCCTAAAAATAAACAATAAAACGCTTTTTATAAATAATCGCAACTTTCGCAGTGCGATATCGTGAATTACATTACACCATTTGATAGCCGGCATTACGTCCTCTGGCATGCCTTTGTCAAGTATCTTTCTATGAAGTTTCTGCTTGCTTAGTGGCTCTTTAGAGGCGGCAGCTTTCTCCGATTCGGCATGATCTGGCTTTGTGGTCATCGACACTGCCAGGACGTCGTTAAGTGTGGATCCGACGAGCATTATCTTAGCACCTTTGGTGATTCCTATGCTACCTAATGTTTGATTATCTTGTAGTAAGCCTTTGTACATGAGTTTCTGCATTGTGTTAGGAACACCTAAGAAAATTGAACACTTCAACCGTAATTGACAAGTGTGGAAAAGTTTTTGGTTTGCTCACCAACAAGTCCCTGGAGTTGTTTTTAAAGTCGGCAATGGTCGTGTTAGCGGGTGCACTCACGTCGTATTTGTTCTTATTATACACTACCTTAACATCTATGATCTCACTGGGTTCATTGTTGTCTTGGTCAGCCTTTGCATTGCTATCACCTGATTCTGTCTTGGGTATCTTGCAGTCAGATGGTTTGTCTTCCTTCAGATGATTGTCGTCGGAAGCGACATTCGACACTTTGCTATCATTTTCCATACCTGTGGAAAAGTGCCAGTCAGGTATGCTACTGTACGACGATTTTGATCGCAAGAGATTTGCGATAATGACAATGAATTTTAACACAACAAGCGATGACTTGCGCGAATGACGTTGACAACAAACCGAAATAATTGAAACGGAAGAATCGCACCATGAAGATGGTAAACGGTGCCAATAGTCGGCGACTTTAATATGAAACGAATAAGGGTGATAAACAAAAGATGGTTTAGACTCACCAACAGGCTCCTCCATCTTTGCAGGATCACGAAACGTGCTGTGCGGGTGTCATAAAGGCACAAACTGACGATCCGCTACGACTATAACCGCTTTAAAACGAAGACCGGTATATTACCAACAATATAAAACAAAAGTTACTAAAACAGATGTAGCTGAAAATAGAAAATACAGAGTTGTAGTATTTAATTAAAATATTGTTTAAAATCCTTTTCTGCGTTGTGCTAATTTGTTTTTGTTCATTTATAGTTCAAAGCATTCTAATATTTCAGCGATAATTTATATAACATTTGACATAAACAAATATCTATAATGTTTTGCTCGAAAATGACTGAATTAATTTATTATTTTACTGTGCCGGCATTATATTTAATTATTAAAATAGATTTTAAAAGTTTTTAGTTGCAGAATTCATGGACTTTTACGTTATCAGTATCTGCTTGTTTGCATTACTAATACGTTTCTTGTTGTTGTGAAAATACAGTAATAAAATAAGGCATGTGAATAATGCCTGTCCATAAAATGTTTCAAAAACATGGGGACATTTTACGTCTGCAAGTTTGTTATTTACTGGTTGCCGGCTTTTGGGCGCAAAACTCCTCGCAACCAACCCAACCAAAACCCAACCAACACACAGTCCATGTCCGTTGGGGTAGAGTTACGCGCTTGTGCCGTGTTTATGATAATACTCGTTCGCTGGGAAACCCCCGAAAATGCCACCGAAGAAACGTGAAAAAGACGCGGACGCGTCGAAAAACCCTCGCATGGATCACATTCAGGCCGATCATGAGCTCTTCCTTCAGGCATTCGAGAGTAAGTCGATGCTTTTGCTTTGCTAACAATACAGTAGTTAAGTCTTCACTCTTCTTGCACTACAATCACAAATATATCTTTCGCAGAACCGACTCAAATTTACCGATATCTACGTACTAGAAACATGTGTTCAGTAAGTTGAGCTTGAAAAACATAGTTTTAGTCAAAAATTAATAATTCTAATGTATTTTCTATAGCCAATATTTCTCAATCGGACCCTCACATACATGAAACATAGAATGTCAAGAAGTCACAAGAAACGCGCCACATTTAAAGTAGATTCCCTCTATGATCAAGTGAAGACAAAGAACAAAGACTTTCTTAACATACTGCCAGGCTTCATGAATCTCACCTTTCTGGGCTTTTATGATAAAAACATTGATGCCAGCATCAAACAAGTACAAATTGAAACAGTCCTGTTCAAGATTAGTCATAAGAAGAGAAAAGACAGTTCGTCTCCGTTAATGGAGGCATCCTTTGGCCTATGTGATGTCGATGTGAACCCGCCGCACAATAATTTGCCGCCGATGGCACCATCAGTCAGTGTTCCATCCGAAGCATTTACAATTTCGGCGGATTCTTTAGCCAAATCATATGTTTTACTGCTCAAAGTACAACACAGTATTAAAAGCGACGCCAATTGTGAGGATGACGAGCCCGCGGCCAAGAAGCGCAAATCTCTAACCAACGGAACGCTTGAAAAGAATTCAAATTCAAACAACACGGAAATGAAACTCTATGTTTCAGAGCTTGTAGTGTATGATAAACACAGCAGGTGTTTATTATCAGATGCAGACTATGAGCTGATGCTACAAGAAGTGAAGGGCAACTGTAATAAAAACTCGCCGCGCAAACACTCCACCTGGGAAAGCAGCGATGATCTCGTCGATTGCTGCACTGACCTTGATGCATTATTCATGTCACCAAGCGTGAAATTTAAGCTTAATTGGTCAGCAAAACCATGCGACAAGATGGTGGAACGACCGGTGGCATACCCGACTTCTGAAACAAAAGAAATCGCTGTGAATAACAATGCTAATCAGGAAAAACTACAAATCGTATATCAGTTTGTTTATAACAATAATTCCAGGCAGCAGACTGAGGCTTGTGAGGATTTACACTGTCCGTGGTGTAGTCTGAACTGCCAAGAATTATATGTTCTACTCAAGCATTTGAAACTTTGTCATTCGAGATTCACGTTTACTTATGTGCCGATATCGGTTGGGGCGAGGATTGATGTCGCGATCAATGAGTTGTATGACGGGTCATACACAGGAAGTCCTCATGATTTGATCAATCAACCTTCAGTTTATGCGTTCTCAAGAAACGGACCGGTGCGAAGAGCTTCAGTGACGCATATTTTAGTCTGTCATCCGAAACGGTCCAAGCCTAGTTTATCCGAGTTTCTAGAATTAGATGATTGTGAATACGATGGCCAAAGACCGTTCATCACCGGCCACAATCGCCTCTATCACCACACCGCGACGTGCCTCCCGATCTACCCGAAAGAGATGGAGATTGACTCCGAAGGTGAGAATGATCCTGAATGGCTGAGGAGTAAAACAATGCAGATGATCGACGAGTTCACCGATGTCAACGAAGGCGAAAAGGAGTTGATGAAGATGTGGAATCTCCACGTGATGAAATATGGCTTCGTTGGAGACTGTCAAATTCCGTTGGCATGCGCTATGTTCGTCGAGCACAAAGGCAAAGAACTCCTGCTGAAGAATCTCTATCGAAATTTCGTTGTACACATGTGTTCACTGTTTGATTTCGGATTGGTAAGTGCGGTTTGCTTATACAATACACTTAAGAAGCTACAAGAAATGGTTAGGGAAACGGCTGCTATTAGAGCAGTGTTGAGAGAATCCCGAGAAGCACAGATGGATAATTGGCACAAGGCTGGTATTACTTCGCCAATATTTAACCCGGATAAGCCAGGCCCCAGCAAGACTCCTACAAACCGAAAAAATATTGGGATTCAACGAAGGAAAGGAACACCTCAGCCTGCAACCGAACCGCCTTTAAGGAGAAAAAGTTTGAATGCCGCCACTGAGAGCACCAAGAAGAGGCTCTCCTTAAAGCAACCGGAGAAGAATGGAAATTAGTTCTGTTGTTGATTTTTACACGTTAAAGTGCCTCGATAATCATTTTCTTTTGTAAATTTGTGATAGATTCATCGACTTTCAAGTAGGATTTATGATTGTGTTTAATTTCCATTTCTATGTTAGTTTGTAAATAATTTTTCGGTTCGATTAAGCAATTGTCGGAAAGACAAGATGGCATGAGGATTCCACGTTTAGGCTAGTCTAGTCACCAAAAAGTGTGGCCCAATAAGTTCTGCAAACAATACTGCCAACATGTATTTCATAGCTGATTCGTTTCACTCTTTTTGTAAACGATAGGGAATTACGTAATATACAATATTTTGTATGAAATTATTGCATTGTTCATTTCCTATTCTTATTTTTACATTAACAGTATCAAAAAGAAGAGTATTCATTATGGGAATGTATGGTCTAAGTATCATTGATCATGATTTGTTGATCTTTGGCATTTTTTTGAAGGAATTGTCATGGCAGCCATTGAAGTGTCGTTTTCGGGTCGGGTTTGTCTAAATGTAAATTTCCCTCATCTGAATTTCACGTTGACATTCCGAAAAATAGTAATATGTCCCATCCGGAGAGCAAAGACGAGCACAAAATTGCAGCGAACGGCGCCCTCGGAGCGTCTAACTCAAAGAAACAAAAAGACACAACGCATGAGGGCGCCATTCCGAAGACGTCGAAGGATTCGTCAGCATCTACATCTAAGGTAACACTAATGAAGACATTAATCATATTCCAACTGAAAATCGTTTAATTATTGCATTAAAACTACTAAATTTCGATTATTTTTTATGTCTAGAAAGTGGATTTAGCAGTGACAATGGAAACCTTACAACTGACCCCTAGCAGTTCCGAAGAAACCGTTACCAAACGAGACTGGATCCGAGTCAAAGACAGTTTGGAGTCAATTCCGCAGGTGATTGGCTGATGATTTCAAAATGGAAGTAGATTTAGGTTATAATAATGCTTATGATGACGTTGCAGACTTCGGATATTATATGCTCCAAGTCGACGAGTTGCACAACATCAAAGGACAAATGTTATATAACCACCGAGTCGCCGCATTCGGAGTCGCTTATCGGCAAGGCGAAGAACACACCAGCCAGCTCCGTATCGAAGGTGTTGCAATGGGACACCTGGGAGAAGTTAGGCAGAAAGAATAAGAAAGAAAACAAGGTAAAAATATAATAAATCGTGTTAATAAAACAAAATGGCAGCCATTTTGAATTTCTATCTTATTTGTCACAACAGCGAAGAAAACCTGAGAAGTGTAACGAACCAAGCTCATCGACATCACCGACGAAAGATAAGGATACGAACCGAAAGGATTTTAAATCTGGCGATGAAGCACTACGACAACAACTCGAGAGTATACCTGTGGAAGAAGCATCTTATGACGAGTATGCTTATCAACCGTACAAGAAGACGATTAGGTCGGTGGAGTTCACGAATAAAGTAATGGTAGTGTATATCAACAAAGAAGATAAAGTAGTGGGCGAAGCCTCGGAACCATTGAAGAAGGAGCTCGAGCAACAAGTCCGCAACAAGGAGATGCGGCGAGGACATATGCCGGACGTGACGTTTACGCGGCGGAGCATGATGAGTGAATGGTTTAAAAAGTAGAATGCAAGAAAGTAACTCACCAACAATCAAGCACCAACAACTGGCAATCATTTAAATTTGGTGGAAGTCATTCATTCTCTCCGCGAACTATTGACACCACGTACGTCTGCAAAATATTACTATTTTTGTCATTTTTAAATAAATTGTTTCAATTTGAACTTTAAAAACATACCTGCATCTTTAACACTTTGAGGTGACTTTCCATAGAACTAGTTCTTTCACGCGATCATACACGAAATATTGTGGAAAATCGAGTGTTAATTCCTCGATTGATGCGTTTTTCACTTGCCGGAGGCATTCCTTGAAGTATTCGTAGCAAGGTGCGCAAGTGTCACAATCGGCAATTGTGAAAACAAAGCGTTTTTCTAACGCGATGTAAATAGAACGCTTCGGTGGGATATTCATCAGTTTCTGGACAGTGGCGATAAACGCGTCGGTCAAATCGTTATCATACACAACTAGAGAAAAATGTTAAAAATGTAAAATTTATTTCACGAATTTGTGTGGTAGTAAAACTATTTACCGTCTGCAGCCAAAATTATTTGTGCTTTTGGAAGAAGTTCCATTATTTCTGGTGATAGATCTTTAGTAAAGTCCAGTTCTAACACTGTTACTGGATACCGAAGATAAGATTCGTTGATTTTGACATTGGATTTGATTAAGTTTAACAAACCACCAACATCAATATCTGAAAAACAAAATTGCAAATTAAATTTTAACTTGAAAATACTAGTACAGGATCCGGGGCCTATTTTGTCACTTGATTACTATCAAGCTAATTTTCCGTGAGTAGCTTCATTTTGATAAGACGCCCAACAATTTCCTGTGCGAAAATTTTTGATTGTGGTAGTTAACAGAGGTAGCAATGATAAAATATGTCGATTTGATGATTCTCAAATATTAATTACTAACTGGATTGTTTTTATTAAATCTTAAGATAATTATCTAAATTATTTGAAAAATATTTGTCCTACAAAATCTATGGTTTCATCAAAGAGTCCTCCCCCTCCATCATGTATTGATAACGAGATCACCAAAAATTATTACTAACCAGCTGATTTTTTTTTTATTACTTAGTTAATATATATATAATGTCACGGTCATATTGTCCTACAAATTCCGTGGTATGTTATCCCGGTCCTACGCTCAGAAATTGTTAATACCATAAGACCATTTTTCTCATTACTAACTGTAGGACAAAAATATTACATAATAGGTTAGTGTGTTCAGTGCCCAAATAAAACAATGTCCTACAAAAAAACAGGTATGTATCACTAGTCCGACAAAAATTGTCATTTTTTCGTTTTCCGATTTCTAACATAAGATACAGTGAGAAAATCTTTTTAAAATTTAAATAAGTTTATTTTTTGAAAAATGAGGTACAAAATTGGTGTATTGGTGTATTTATAGATAACAAAAATTAATCTTCATCATATTCATCCGATGAATCATAATCTTCGCTACTAACATCGCTGTCATCTTCATTTGTTTCACTTTCCTCACTTGTGATATCTGACTCTATAATAACATTAAAAAATTAAGTAAATTATATAATAATGAATAATCAATCAATAAATAACAATAGTATAAATAGGTTACCTTGTATTTCAGAAGATAATTCTTCAAAAGATGGACTTTGGGGACCATCAAACCAATAGTATTCATATTTGCCATCAATTATTGTCCATCCAAAATTTTCCGGCAATTACAGATAACCCAAGCGGCACAAAGTTTTCTTTGTTATTGTTTTGTTTAATTTCAGTTGGCGTTCAGTAATTTTTTAACTTATTGTTAAGTGAAATCTACCGAAAAGTCAAGATTTTTTTTTCTCACGCTTGAGAAATAAATTGATTTTTAATTTCATGACTTTCCAATATATTTTCAATTGGAGCACCGCAATAGCGTACCACGCTATTTTTACATTTATGATCTGTACTACTACTTTCGACCGTAGGACCGGGACAACGTACCACGGAATTTGTAGGACAATATGACCGTTACATTATATATATTAACTAAGTAATAAAAAATCAGCTGGTTAGTAGTAATTTTTGGTGATCTCGTTATCAATACATGTTGAGGGGAGGACTCTTTGATGAAACCATAGATTTTGTAGGACAAATATTTTTTCAAATAATTTAGATAATTATCTTAAGATTTAATAAAAAACAATCCAGTTAGTAATTATATTTGAGAATCATCAAATCGACATATTTTATTATTGCTACCTCTGTTAGCTACCAATATCGAGAATTTTCGCACAGGAAATTGTTGGGCGTCTCATCAAAACGATGCTATTCACGAAGATTCAGCTTGATAGTAATTATTTTACATCAATGATCTGTACTACTACTTTTGACCGTAGGACCGGGATAACATACCACGGAATTTGTAGGACAATATGACCGTGACATTATATATATATTAACTAAGTAATAAAAAAAAAATCAGCTGGTTAGTAATAATTTTTGGTGATCTCGTTATCAATACATGTTGGAGGGGAGGACTCTTTGATGAAACCATAGATTTTGTAGGACAAATATTTTTCAAATAATTTAGATAATTATCTTAAGATTTAATAAAAACAATCCAGTTAGTAATTAATATTTGAGAATCATCAAATCGACATATTTTATCATTGCTACCTCTGTTAACTACCACAATCAAAAATTTTCGCACAGGAAATTGTTGGGCGTCTTATCAAAATGAAGCTACTCACGGAAAATTAGCTTGATAGTAATCAAGTGACAAAATAGGCCCCGGATCCTGTACTATACATGTAACATTAATTTAAATACAATTTTTCGTCGCATAACAAAATAAAAAATAATCAAATAAAACTGTTGATTCATTTGTGTAAGTTTGGTTGCCTACATTAAATGTGCATTCTTCATAATATTATCTTTGCAACAAAACATGTTATTTAAAAATAGCACATAACTATTGCGCCTGTCACTACCAGTTTATACTATCACATGTAATAACAAATCTTATCAGTTGTATTATTTGTCCTTATTTATAGACATAGGTAGCAATAATTACCGCTTGAGCGTTACCATACCATTAAAATTTATAATATTTATCATTGTCGCCTGTTTATTATTTTATTTTGAAATTTACCTGTACAGACGACTGGGGCAAACATGCCGGCGACGATGCTCGTCAATCCGACGCCCGATCCCAGCTCCATAATGAGCGTGTCGCGCGTAAAACTTTGCCGATTGTGAATGAGCCAATCGGCCAACAGCAGTGCGCCACGCCATATTTGCAAACCGACCAGATTCAGTTCTGTGCGCTTACTATGTTCTGCAAATGTTTTAAAATTAGCCATATTAATAACAAATAACACAATTACCCCATAAGTATTTCATAGACAATTATATATCTCAAGAGGATTATATAAGATTATTATATGAAGTATAATTACCAATTTTAATCTCGCATTTTTGCGAATTTCTTCGAGTTACAACCAAATCACCGTCGGCATCAGTCACCGGCGCCGTCGGCGAGTGGGGAAAGTCAAACGCAAATCTCGACACCACATCTAATCATAATAATGCGCATTAGACACTTGTGCAAGACATAAATGTAAAATAATTCAATGTTAAACTTACTTTCGTCATTTAACGACGGGGTGATGGCCGTCGAATAGTCAAATTCTTCGTACAACTCCGAAGAAACGCGATTATCATTCTCGCTCATGATTTTAATGACTCACTAACAGTATACTTCCTCTAATTTATGCGATTTGACCCAAATGCTAAGCGGAATGCTAAAAATAACCAAATTTTTACTTAAAATTGCAAAACGTTACGTTCGAATAAATCGACAATCTTTAATATATTCTAAAGTAAAGTAAACACGTTGTTTGCATGCGCAAACCAACAATTATAAATGTTAAATACTACGTGGCTATAAAATGTGCACCACGAAGGTTTTTTCATTGTCCATTTGCCAGAATTCGCTCGACGTCTCGGTCGTATTTTCAATCTCAGTTCACATCAAACGCGACACTCGACGTCTATTCTATTTATACATTTATTATCGAATTGTAAATTTATTCAAGTTTTAAACGTGGCGCTCGTACGTTGGTTTTCCTTTCGAGCATGCGTACCATACGCTTGGTGATTTTCCTAGTGACTTTCTAGGCACTCCCACAGGCAAGCCGCTTGACCAATGGAAACGCCACACGAAGTTGTGCCACGTTGTGTCATAGCGGCAGCGCGCGCGCTACCCGGTATTCAGCGATCACATAGGCGATCACTTCCTTCCAGCACGTTAGCCTGTCTGTCAGTCTGTCGTGGAAAGGTGACGAAGAAGGTGGGCAAACAAGTCCGAGCAGGAGTAACAATACAACATTGTACGCGCACACAACATGAAAGCAATCGTCGCACTCTGCGCGCTGATCGCGCTTACCGGTGTTTTCGCCGACGAGATCACCACCGATGAGGGTGTGCTAGTTCTCACCAAGGACAACTTCAAATCAGCCATCACCGACAACGAGTTCATCTTGGTCGAATTCTGTAAGTACACAATTCACGCAACAAATAACAGTACCTTTCAGTCGCGTAGGTGATGTGTAAACGTGTAACATCCGTTTTCAGTCAGAGGAGATGTGCTTGTTGGGTTGCGGTTATTCACTTGTTTTTAGAGTCAGTCTAGCATGTTGCACGTAAACACCGATATTGTTTGCCAGCTTGCGTGTCCACTTTACCGGCATGTTGTGCACAATGACTATGAAACTACGCCGTAGGCGACTTTAATTTTTAACTCAAATCTTTCAATAAATTAAAACTAGGTTCCACCGGGACGTGGGCATTTTTATGCGATGACGTCGATTGGTTTGGCCAAGTCACGCAGATATCTTTTTAGATGAAGGTTGTCGACCTTTTGCTCGCGGTAGCGCACTAGCAGCATCGCTACATGAAGCGCGTTTCAGTCCCGCTACCGCGGATTGTAAACGTTTGTTTGTCGTTTGCCGATTGATGATACCAGCGGTCGTAGACAAAAAAAAGAGATTGTAGATGGCAGAGTCAGAGTGCCGGAGATGTGTGTGCGTGGCCTTCACGGGCTGCCATCACAGCACCACATCCAATACATGCTCATACGTGGCGAAACTTAATTTACACGTACATATTCCACAGTGAATGCATTCATATTCCATTATGAGCACGTACATGGATTTGATAAGACGCGCGATATCAGTAGCATGTATTCCACGTAGGCCTGCTATCACTTTAATACATTTAATCATTCTTTTTGATTGTGTACAGCGGCATAAAAACTTGGACTTGACATTGAAAATGTTTGTTTTGCACTTGTAGAATTTTGTATGCCATTGCGCAAACATTTATTTATATGACGGTTGCAAATATTTACTTTGTTACTTTGTCTGAGTTGAATTTGAATCGAATTATTGTCTAAATGTCTATTTTTGTTTTAAGATGCCCCATGGTGTGGTCACTGCAAGGCCCTGGCTCCTGAATATGCCAAGGCCGCTAAAATGCTGGAAGATGACGGATCCAATGTCAAGCTCGGCAAAGTCGATGCCACCGAACAGGGTGAACTCGCCGAGGAGCACGGTGTCCGTGGTTACCCCACGCTGAAATTCTTCAGGAACGGCAACCCCTCTGAATATTCCGGTTAGTAGACTATAAATGTACTTTCCATGTTGTTTTTTACATCATGCTGTGATATGCTTTATATATCGGCTTGTTTCTAAAATGTATTTTCCATGTTTAGGTGGTCGCCAAGCCGCTGATATCGTCAACTGGCTGAAGAAGAAGACCGGCCCACCCGCCCAGGAATTGAAGACCGTCGAAGAAGCCAAGGCATTCATCGACAAGGACAAGGTTGTCATCATTGGTTTCTTCAAGGATCAGACCTCTGACAACGCGAAGGTGTTCTTGGACGCTGCCGCTTCCATCGATGATCAACCTTTTGCTATCACCTCTGATGAAGCTGTCTTCGCCGAGTACGGTGCTGAGTGCGGAAACATCATGCTCTTCAAACAGTTCGATGAAGGCAAGGTTCTCTTCGAAGGCAAATACAAGGTGCAAGAAATCAAGAAGTTCGCCGCTACCAACTCGCTTCCTCTCGTCGTTGACTTCAACCATGAGACCGCACAGAAGATCTTCGGTGGTGAGATCAAGAGCCATCTGTTGCTCTTCTTGAACAAGGACGAGGACCACTTCAACACCGTGTCTGAAGCCGCGCGTTCCATTGCTAAGCCATTCAGAGATCAACTGCTCTTCGTCACTATTGATACCAAGGAAGAAGATCACCAACGTATCATGGAATTCTTCGGCATGAAGAAGGAGGAAGTTCCTGCTGCGCGTTTGATCCGCTTGGAAGAAGATATGGCTAAATACAAGCCGGAAACCAATGACTTGTCCGCTGAATCACTGAAGGAGTTCGTTCAGGCCTTCCTTGATGGTAAACTTAAGCAGCACTTGCTCAGCCAGGAGCTGCCCGAGGACTGGGACAAGGAGCCTGTTAAGGTTCTGGTCGCTTCCAACTTCGATGAGGTTGTCATGGACAAGACGAAGGATGTCCTTGTTGAATTCTACGCCCCATGGTGCGGACATTGCAAGCAGCTCGTGCCTATCTACGATAAGGTCGCTGAGCACTTCAAGGATAACGATGCTATCCTTGTTACCAAGATGGATGCCACCGTCAACGAGCTGGAGCACACCAAAGTCACGAGCTTCCCCACGCTCAAATTGTACACGAAGGAGCACAACAAGGTCGTGGAGTACAATGGTCCACGTACCTTCGAGGGTCTGACCAAGTTCCTCGAAACTGGCGGCGAGGACGGCGCTGGCGCCGACGAGAACGAAGAGACTGAGGACGACGATGCGCCGCGCAAGGACGAGTTGTAAACTCCTGTCGTGTGCAGTACTTAGCTCGTATTTTTTAAACGATTGGTTGTCAAACGCGTCATCCTCACGATTTCCCAAAAACCTACCTACGTTATCCATATCCATCCCCCACACACAAATCCAACTAATACTTCTACGTTATATTTTTGTACTCTTGAGGTGAAGAACTCTTTTTTGTGGTTTTTCTTTTTGATTGGAAGGAGCAACGAGATGTGCCGAAGACTGTTTTCTTTTTGTAGTAAGTTATATTTTTTAAAAGATTGCATTTACTATTGTAAGAAAAATGACTCTTCCTTTGTCGAAATGTGGAAAGATCGAGATAGAGAGAGAAACATTCCTATTTTAGAGTTCAATCGGCGCCCGCATGTGCGTAAAAGTACAACATATATTTTTTATAATTTCATTTCTCGGATTGCACTCTAAAATATGCTCTGCGAGCAGCGCGAAGGAGGCGAAACGCTGAATCGAAATCACATTACACACGCCATTGTGAATACAAAAGAACGAGAAGTTGTAAATTACATTGTTATAGCGATATAACTGATTAAAATCAATAAAAAATCGTATAACTCATATCAGATTTGAAATGACTTCACAACACCGGCAATTCCGAAAATGGTTTCCTATTTATTTGCGCAATGTTTTGTAATTTGTTTTTTTGATTGACTCCCACAACCATTTCAGTAAATTGCAGATTGGACAAAACTATATAAGTAAAAAACCATTGCAGCAAATGGTTCCGCATTAATACAAATGTGTGCTTATACTCGTATTATAGAAACAACTGTTCTGAAATGAATGTAAAAATCGTGTACGCGGCGTATCGAAACTGCGAATGAAAAACGTATCTTGTTCAAGACTTGTATCGTAATTCAAATTTTAACATTCTTATTATAGAAGTTAACACTGGATACACGACAGTTCGCTGTGAGATGTTTCTTAGAGAATGTTTCGCCGTAAGACTTCGCTGCTGGAAGAGTTTCGCCACCAGAATTATTTAAGTTTCTAGATTACTTTAACTCGTTAACAATGAAATTTTGAAGCATATTAAACTGATTCACACAATCAATCTTGAATCTTTAGCATACAATGTGTTTGTGGACGATTTTTAGCCACGAATTAAGTAACCATTGTCTACTTAATCGTTTTAGTCCACTATTCATTAAAACAACATCCACAAATGTACAGTTTGCTAAAGATTCGAGACTGAACGTATATAAATCACTTTAATACTCAAAATTTATTTATTTATGCTTCAAAGTTACTAGAAACTTGAATTATTCTGCCGGCGGATCTCTACCGCGGTAAAAAGTGTTGGGGCGAATTAGGGCGCCGAGGAACGTCTCGCGGCGAGCTGGCGTGTACCCGTTAACCCTGGATAGTCGGAGAAAAAACTAATTATTCGGCTTACATTTACTTATAAATTCTTTCCAGTACGTTTAGCTTCATGAGCTTCAGACGTCAATTTCTCCATTTGTAGTGACAGGGCAAACCGGCACAACGTTTACACAAAATGGCGAACCAAATATTCCAAAGAAAACTCTCAAACTACCGTTTAAGTCATTAATCAATGTTTAACGCTGTAGAAAACAATACGAGTACATTTATTCTTCCGTGATATAAAACACTGAAAGATATTAATTAATTGCACCAACCTTTGATATTTTCCACGTTTTCTGTAGATCGTTCACGTGTCGACTCGCACACTTTTATTGGTTAAATTACATTGTTATTGTTTGCAGTTAGAAAGATAATATCTCACAGTCACTGCAAGTCACTGCACGCAGAGGCAATCACGCTTCGTTTTTACAATGACCTTTGAAAGAATTCTACACTGACGACACCTGTATGTTTTTAAATATTTGATTTTATTGCAATTTCAATATAAAACTTTGAATTATTCGTCCGCTCAATCAATTCAACAATAATTTAAATATGTATTTTAAACTTTGTAACTTACGCTAATTATCTCGAGTCAAAATCTAGATAGTTTAGTCTCAACCGCATTAAAATAGTTTAAATACGCTCTGAATATTTTTGGCACATAGTAAAATTATACATACTTCTAACAAGTCATCATAGTTGCTCGATTTTTTACTTGAACGCAGATTTAAAGCCATCGGCAACAACATTTTAATCAATAATCAATTTAAATCTTAAGAATTCGTTGACTGTCATTCGAATCGATCGATTATAGTCTTTACCCAACCTTTTTGATTACCCTCCAGCTGGAGTCCGCAATTGCTCGGTTGTCCACCATTTTGACACACGCCATTTGAGTTAATTGGGTTGCCGGCAGTCAAAGAATTTTTGACGGGACTGAGGAATTTAGGTTTTGCTGGAATCGGCGGTGGCGCTTTAACAGGCCTCTTCATCTCGGGCTTCCTCATAATATGCGGTCTGCAATCATCCCCAGCGTTGGACCGGAAACTATCGCTCTTCTCAATACGTGATTCTTCCTCCGTGAGCCGCTTGTCCAGCAGGTGCTCGTAGTAGCAATCATGACTAGACGCAACCGTGGCGAACACATGCGCTGGATTCGGACTTATTGGACTCATCGGACTGGTGGGACTTGTAGGGCTCGTTGGAGTTTTAGGACTAGAAGTCATCCTTTGACCATTTGATGCAGTGGGTTGCTGACTAAGTCGACGATCCAGTTCGCGAAGAACTTCCGCTTCATTCATATCAATATTCCTGGGCAAGACAAAATCCTCCAGGTTGTCTTTGCTGGGCAGCGTTGTGGTCGAGGTTGACGGTGAATTGGATATAGATCTTGGTTCGGTCGCAACAAGTAGTATTTTCTGTGGATCTGCGTAGTCTGGGTTTGCAATTTTGGCCCCCATTGATTTAGAGCCTAGTTTATGAGTGGGTAGCTTGGATCTACCGTCCTCGTTGAGTATGGCACGAAAACGTTGAAGGATACTTAGACGCATTGTTGACTTACGATAAATTTTATGCTCAGGATATTCTTCTTCATCGTCATCATCATCACTAAATAAAACAAAAAATATCCCAATGTAAATAGAGCAAGTAGTAAAATTTATTTAAACTTACTTTTCACGTTGATCCGAACATTCCTGCAGAGAACTAATTGATTCACATGTGGTTATTGTGCTGCATAAATCTTCGTCTTTATCTTCGGCATTCTTGTCATTCAATTGAAATGACCTCGGAAGACTATCGCTCTTATTAATACCACCCTCGTCACTTTGCTCATATTGCTTACTGTTGCCATAGCAACTGTGACTTCCCTTCATGTTGCGGCGTTGTTTACTGAGCACTTTGTGAAACTCAACGTTTTGCATCAGCAAATCAGTGACGACTTGAGCAATTGTATTACTGAGATGCTGCTTGTCGTCCCGTTCTGGTGACTCAAATCGTTGTTCATGTGGACGTTCCTGTCGTTCTTGTTCCTGAATAACGTTTAAACTATCCATGGATGCGCCAATTAAGCCTTCGCAGTTTTCCGAGTCGGAGAGATCAGTGTAAAACACGCTGCTGTCGGGGGATTTTTTAGCTTTCGGTGATTTTTTCGCTGTTTTATACTGGCATCCGCTAGGGTCGGACTGTCGCCGCCATTTTCCTAACGATGGAAACGTGCGGTCTTGAGAGGTGGCACGTCGGACGGAGAAATCGCGAGTTTTACGGAAACGACCACGACGTTCTAAATATTGAGGGGTTGTGTGTTGTTTGATTGGAGACGATTTGTCATATTGCTCTTCTGGAATTAAACGTTTTACTTAAGTAAGCGTAAATACTTTTGATAGGCAACCAATTGTACTCAATTGAAAAGACTAATATCTTCTTCTTGTTTTGTTTTCTTGTATTATTGGGAATATTATAAATTTTACCTGTACATTCGGGCATGTCCTGCCCCAATTGCATCACCAGCTGGCGGGCGTGGTTGGGTATCACAGCGTTGTAGTTCTCCAAAATGACCCGCTTGATTTGCAGTGTCCATTCGCGCTTATGTTGCGTACTGCGCGCCCTCAGCGTGTACTGATTGCGCGGATTGTCAAATGGAAGGACATGGAAGCTCAGGGGTTCGCCTCGGACTTGCTCAACGAGCATCAAATTTGAACACTATACAAAAACATAATTATAAAGTACAAAATGAAAACCATCACTACCAGTTTCTTTATGACTACGTGTTTTTGTTTTGTGTTGAACGAAGTTTAATAAGGTAATAACGTTTTTACGATGGTCGCAAAGCAGTCATCACGCATGCAAATTTAACGATAGGTTAAAGCAGAGAGATCGTGGCACTCACCATGATGTGCGTTTTATAGCCGAGCGCGCCGTCCGGCTTGCTCTTCGCCATCATCAGCAGCTTGTCGAACAAGAAGACATGGCGGCGGCCGCGCGCGCCCCCCACGCGGAACGTCCCCTCGGCGATGAGCTCTCCCAACGCCGTCAACGCGTCGCCATGCCAGCCGTACAATTGCGCCTGGATTTCATGGACACGAACGGCATGCTCGTGTTTGCGTTTCATCGTGTTAATATGCGTCGCGACGGCTGTCATCGTGGCCAGGGCTAAATCAACAGAGCATCTGTGATGCTCATCGCATTGTTTGGATAAACGCTAAACAAAAAAACCATTTAATATAGCCACCAATGCCGCCATTTTGAATATTAATTTACCTGAAGGAACAGATGGTATTTTAGTATACGTTGGACAGGTTTGAGCAAATATGAACCAAGTGGCAGCGCGTGATGTAACGCTCCTTGGCGCTCTCTAAAGAGGGCGGCCATGCTTTCATCTCTGGTCATTTCGGTTAGAATGTTCATCGTACGCGGGTAGTTTGTGCAGTACTCTGTGTAGATTGAGAATCCCGAATCGTGTAACAGAAAAGCATTGGCGACGTGCGTTGAATCAAGCGGTACTGAGCGTAGATGCTGAAGGAACTTATTATTGAACTCATAGATGGCTTCCAGGTTGCTAAATAAATGTGGTAGGTGTTGACCAAGCGGACAGGATGGATCATTCCGCCATGGCTCCAAATAACCCTGCAAAAATACAATTTATTAATGTTACACTCAATGTAAAATATTTTGACACATTTAATGCGCATGCGTTAAAAGGGGTTGTGAACTAATTAGTCCTACAAACTTTCAGACTGGAATGCTAAATTTAGACGCTGATGTTGCACGCTGCACGTGCGTTATGCGGTGCTTTTATGTGCACTTCCTGTCTGCGGGTCGTTGGCTGAGGTCCGCCATTAGTGCACATTCCGGCGAACCGTAATAATGCCATAAGTTAAAGTTTCAAACGCCCAAAATTAGAACGACATAAACTGGTTGAATTCGTGAGAAACGATTTGAGTGTAGCACGTGTTGCCTACACCTAATTTGACTTGTTTACACCGCAAAACAAATGCAATGCAATAAACCGACTACAAATTGATGCTGATCAGACCCGAACACCGCACATGTGCCGAGCACATTGAACAGTTATCCACCCGAGATTGCTAAAGTTGGTGCGTGCCTCCTATCATGTCCTCATCGGCAGTTTGAAGGACAGAAATCGCGGCGCGGCGCAAAAATAAACAGGATGTCGTTAAGCCGTAAGCGTTTGAGCCGAACGGCAATTTATTTTGTTTTTCAATTTTCAGCGTGTGCGCGAGATCGGCACCCAGTCACACACTGCACTCACATACTCTCCATCCGACAACAGAGACAAAACAAAACAACAACAAAAAATCAAGTGTCTGAGCTGGCCAATGTATGTAGTCCCATGCAGGCAGCAACGAGCGCGGGTTAATAGAAAACACCAGACTAATAAAGTCGAACGTTTATCAACTGCTAATGGCTGTTGATAAACGTGTGGTCGTCGCCGAACTGTACTTGACGTGCACATTTGGCCGATTCCCATTTTACGCGAGGATTTCGTATGCCAATACGAAGCAAAAGAAGTTGAAATGGTAGTCGTGAGTCAGCGTCAGCGGGTCGCGTTCGCGTGAAACCATTACGCGGAGCAGCGGTTGCGAGTGCATCGCGTAATCGAATTAAATAGTTTACAACTGTTTTTGCTCTTGTCGCGCGCGCGAGCTAACTGTTTTGTGGCGGCGCCGATTTGATAAGGCGGACACAGGCAGGTGACTCACGCTAAGGAGGAGGTTTTAGACTATCCTTTATCTTGCATCGCGCGACGTGCATTGCGGTGCTTTGTGCATTCGCGAGACCGAACAGGTAAAACATCAGCAAAGAATGCAGGATTAATCACCTCCTCGACGCGGCTCGGACCCGCAGGGGCATTATTAATATGGCGAGAACGTTGCCCTCAATCTTCCACCTCTGAATCATCCTCGCTTTAATAATTTACTGCATCGGAATGATTTTTTTCGAGTGTGAAGTTCACGAGCCACACAAATTGTTCAATGAATATTTTGTAATCGGTTTAACGTAAGCGTAGTTTTCGAATATGTAATATTTGATAATTATGTGATACCAACATTTACCCGTGACTTTTTTCGCGTAGTTTTTAGTAAAAATAATTTCATTTTACTTTTGTTTTGTTTACCTTAATGACTTGATGCAAATCATCAACATAGATGGCCTCAGTGTCGAGTACCTCGTGAAGAACGCGCATGTCCGCGCCTGTGGTTGTTGATTCGGCAATACCGCTATCTGCCGATCCTGGAATCAACAAAAAGAAACAAAATAAACAAAAATTTCACCACACTCCCAATTTACACTTCATATATAGTTTAATTACATAACATAATAAACTATTTAATAACCTTCACCGTGCAATAATAAATAATACGATATATCGACGCCATCTTGCATTTTAAAAACACATCGTAAACGCAATGCGAATGACAAGTGTAAACTGAAATATTCCAGTGGGTGTCGACTGGAATATGAAAAAGTAAAAATCAAGCGTACAAATTGACTCTAAACTATAAATTTGATATATTTTATGGCCATTAGAAAATTATCACCTGCTGTACACCAGAAGCAATATAGTAACATACGCACGTGCAAAGAAACGGCATACCTATGCAAATAAAAGGGTTGCTCCCTGTGTTTTGCATCGGTTATAAAACGCGGAAGACATTCCAACGTTTACCATCTTTACTATCGTCGATCATGAGCAGAATCAGAGCACAATATACGGCAATCGTTAAAGTAAACATTATATTATTGACAATAAACGAAATAAACATAAACCCAAAGTGTGTAATACGCCGATAATAAATAAACGCACATTTTAAATTAATCTAAAAATATCTCCAGCACGTTGAAAATCGTTAAAAACGTCAATAAAATAAAAATTAAAAGTGGAATTTCATTTTAAGCGATTGGCTTTCAGGCGTGAACTTTCCAAACCCCGAGGATGTTTTAGCCTCGCTTTTGCCCGTATTTATTAGTTTATTGCGTATAAATATTTATGAGGTGCCATCGCCGCGGCTTCCACTCTTTTTCAACATTCTGCATAAATCTTCACGCGCATCAAAACAAAACATTATGGGCGCGATCAGATCCTGACCTCGAGGAAATTTCTACCAAGAATAAGAAAAAAAATAATTGAATTTAATACAGGCACCCACACGATTTTCATCCGTAATAAATCATAATCGTGAAAAACAAGTGTGGGCTTGTAAGTGTATATTAAGTTGCATTCCTTCAGGGGTAAACCCGCAATAATCAAGCGTGAAAACAAAGTGTTTGCATACCTTGACTGCCAGTGGGTTCATTATCACTGTCTAAGCTCTCTGCCGACGCTAGATATGCTGAACCCTGCTGATGAAGTCCGCTGCTACTTGACGACGAGCAAGATCCCAAACTTGTGAGCGACACAGGTCGCGACACTTCTGAACTCAACGTGCTGTTTGTACTCTCACTGGGAATCTAATGAAAAACAACAGGGTAAAATTAACCATTGGCAACCAGTTGTGCACCTAATACTAACCTGTAAATATTTCCCCATATTTTTTCTGCCAACTGGTGTACGCGATGCTATCCCACTTGGTTTCTGCATGTAAGTACCCAACGGTTGAGAATTGCCGTTTTCGCACGGTTCACCCACAAACAGTCCACCACTACTTGCACTTTTATCATAATCTTTACAATCACTTCGCAATCGGTTATTTTCATGATCGTTGTTATTCAATTCCGCTTTGTTCGTGTTAATTCGCGATCGGTCGTTGTCGGCCATTTTGTTTTCAGCCTGCAAATCCGTCTGTGCCAATCTCACCGCCAGTTCAGTGTCAGGTAGATTTGCGAGCATCTTCTGCACACCAGGTGAGATAATATCAAGTGATTCAGTGCTCTTGTTACGATGCGACGCCATTTGAGCAAACTGTGATTTCTGCCTTGGCGTTAGCGACGTATAGAAAACCGAGTTTCGCACGCGCATACTATTTCTATTGGAACCACCGCCGTTGTGACTCATCTCTGCAGAGGGGGCGCTGGCGTCGTCTTGATTGTGAGGTGGTAAATTAGCAAGGATCTTCTGCACGTTTGCAGAAAGATTCGGGAAGTGGTCAGCGTGTTGCGAACGCTGGACGTCCTTAGGCTCCAACAGGGCGTCCATCGCGTCCATTATGGACGGCATTAGATCCGTGGACGTACCTGCAAACATAAAACAATACACGTAAGTATCTAACCTCAAAAGATAACCTTAACACACATTTGAGTCGTTAATACTTATGTAATTAATTTTAGTATACGCAACAAATGATAAAAACCTACATTTTATGTGATGGAATAGAAAATATCGCACGTTTGAACGAGTCGAGCATCGGGTACACATTGAAATCGAATTTTTGAATTATATTTAGAAGCCGACCTGCCACCAGCTTCGTTTACGCGCGACCAATGACGAAATTTAATGAATAGTGGGATGACATGCTGGTGCATGTGCACATAGAAATTATACAATATGTTCACGCAAAGAAAAAAACTCTGTACTAAATACCAACTATTAAGATTATAAATTAGTACTTTCTTCAAAGTGACAAATTGTATATAAGTACAAAATTTATTTTCAATTTTGTTAGGGTGTTTTGTAACACACATGTAGAAGTCAAAGAAAATTGTACGCCTGTAAAAGCACGTTTTCAGAGTTTTCATACGTTCACACAATTACTTTCTAAGACTATTTATCACTCATTCACTACAGCACATATTTTCTCGTACGGCCCGTCACAGCTCAGAGTAATGACGTAAATTAAGCAACCGATTAAAAAAGCGCAGTCGGAAATTGAACACACAATGCATGCATACTCGTACACGCACATGATTCATTCAAACCGACATTCCATTTAGCATCAAATCAAAATTTAATCATACCGATAAACAATAGTAATGTCAATGTTATTAAAAGGGAATATAATCAAGGCATTCCGCAAACAATCGACAATAAAATGCATTGAATATTGTTTTAAATCTTGATTCAGGTGTAATTAAATACGAAATACGAATGTTTATTTGTTACGCTTTTTTGCAAATATCACTAAAGTAGTTTCAATAAATTTTAGTTTAGGGATGTCTTTAGTCATGGAAAAGCAAATCGTAAAATTGTAAAAATATAATTTGAAGGATATAAAATAAGAGATTATAGTATGGAGACTCTTTTAATAGATTTAATAGGCCGATATGATGCTAAAGTTTAAATTAAGAAAAATGCGCCCAACGTGGGGCTCGAACCCACGACCCTGAGATTAAGAGTCTCATGCTCTACCGACTGAGCTAGCCGGGCTGGTGATAAACAAATAGCCAGTAATTTGGCGTCGATTAAATTCTGCAGCTACGTCAACACTGAGCAAGTGTAAAATTCAAAATAAGGTAAATTTAAAATTTATATGCTGCACAAGTCGGATGTAGACCAATTTCGCATAGAATGTCCAACAACGAAACAAAGTTTTTGAACCGATGTTTCAACAAACTGGGAGCATGATTACTAGAAATCTGCTTATCATCAGCCCGGCTAGCTCAGTCGGTAGAGCATGAGACTCTTAATCTCAGGGTCGTGGGTTCGAGCCCCACGTTGGGCGCATCTTTTACCCACTTATTTAATATAACATATAGTAAATAATTTTAAAGCAGCAGTTCAATTTTCTTTTAAAATGATTTTTATTCGTGACACTTAAGAATTACTTACAACCAATAAAAGATATTCAAGTATTCTCCCTATGATGACAACAATAAGGGTTATTCTGGATATAAAGTGTATTACTGCAAGTTTAAGTATAACCAATTCAGGTTAGGTTGAAATGTTTAAATAAAACATAATAAAACATGCGCCCAACGTGGGGCTCGAACCCACGACCCTGAGATTAAGAGTCTCATGCTCTACCGACTGAGCTAGCCGGGCTGACAACACTTAATGTTCTAATAATGTTGCTCTCAATTGATTCAGCATATGATCCAATTGTAATATTGGGTGAGAAAAGCTGTTACGTATGAAAATTTAAAAAATATATCTTTTTCCGTAACTTTGGAAATAACGCAACTTTAAATTTTTTTTAAATTAAAAATGAGACATAGTTACACTACTTTTAATTAAACTCTACGCGGCCGAAATAGCGAGCTAAAACTAGTAAATAATAAAAGAAATTGTAATTACAATGACCTTGCCCTCATCAACGTCATTCGAGACTTGACACTTGTATGTCCACGATTCTTTGATGTTGTCCGAGCGTGAAGACTTTATTGTTCGCGCTGTGATATTGTGATAGGCTTGGCAAATATACACGCCGCGTTACATCCACACAAACAGTGTCATGGATCCAATAACAAACAAAAACATATATACGCAATACACAAGTAGCGATAAGCAGCGCGCAGTTGCGATTGTGAATGGTCAAATAGGCCTGCATTGTCATGTTATATGTGGTGGAGTTTCCGGTCGCATACGTGCATGGCGCATCCCAACTTTGACAGGAAGTCATGTCCATACAATTCCAGCATTTTAAAATAATATTATGTGTTTGAAATCAGCCGTAAAGTTAAATACATATAATAGGTTTATCACTTTTGCAGTTTAAAACAATTTACAGTTAAAAATTTAAACCAAATTGAAATTGTTGAATTTTGTACTAAGCGCAAAATAAATTGCAATTTCCCGTACCTAGTTTAAGTTGCAGTTTAAGCTAATGTAAGAAGTGACTTAAATTGCGACTCAAATTAAGTTAGTCGGCTCGCTAGGGAGCTGAAAACAGTTAGCGTTTGGTTGATGTTCGCATATGAGTTCGATTCGATCGAGAGTGCATCTAATTACACGGAATACGAGGCAATTACTAGCGAACAGTGTAATTCAATGGAAACAACCTAATGGTTTCAAGGAAACCGACTGGAAATCGCCGGCACGCGGCACACTCTTACATCACTCATGCATCATTCATACATGAACATCTAATCGCAACAAACGAAACATATGCTAGTTATTAATATATTAGCTTTTGCTCGCGATTACGTCTCCGTGATTCTTATTAACAATTTAATTAAATTTTATTTTTGGGAATGAAAAATGACTATAATGCACTTTAACGTCATCTAGGATTCAATTATTTAACTATATCTATGAGTGAATTTCAATGCCAACTTATTTATCACCTCTTTAAATCATAATTTTTGACATTTTAATACTTATTATCGAATTCTGGCTCAAGACGAATCTAACAAATCATATATCATCAAAATCTGTCAAGCTGTTCTTGAGTTATAAATGTTGTAACTAACACGACTTTGTTTTCTATAAATTCATAGATAATTTAAATTCTTTTGCATATCAAAATTTGATTTGCATTTGTTAATTCGTAGATAATATTAAGTGCTTTCCAATGTTCATAAATATTTCCATCGCAATTCGGTCTTTATTATGCTTATTATTGATATTATATTATATCGTAGTGTTGTATAAATGAATGATTGTGATGATGATCGCGATAGTCATGATATTAAGCATCGAAGTCATCGAAGCGACGAAAACATAAAACAGATCGCCACCAGCATTGATTTAAGTCTCTCAAGCGCTTCGAACGGCCTTTGGATGTCGTCGTGAATAACGCCGCTGCTGCTGGCATTCATAATGTTCATAATATTCGGTAATAAAACCAATGACCTTCTGTTTAATGTCAAACGCCAATCCAATAAGAATCTAATTAGAATTAAAACAACAACGAATACAAGAAAAAGCAAAACAGAAAATTTATTACATACAACAATATTTAATGACTCATACATAGAAATTTGCAAAATAATAAATTTAAAATGTTTCCTTCCGAGAAGGAAATCCCTAACTAATTATCCTTTATGAATATTTCTGAGAAGTCTCAGTGTCATGAATTAATTACAAATGCAATTTGCGTTTTGTGGTGTGAGTTGCATTAAGGTGACTTAAGTCACATGCCGACATATGTCATGTGTCATCCTTCGATCGTCTCGGCGTGATCGCCATTACAATGGATAAAAACAAAAGAATTAGTGCGCGCTCAATGAATTGTACAACCCATTGACGACATGATGATAATCATGCACTCAACAGCAAAGAAAAACTTAAAGTTATTAAATTAAATACATAAAAATGTAATTAAAAGTTACTTTCACTAGAAACTAAGTAAATATTAGTTATTAATTATAATAGTTTTATGTCATTTAAAGGTTACTTAATGCGTATTTGACATGAAACATTTTAATAAGTGTTTTACCTTTAATAGTTTGTTTGTTATTTCAATTGTTTAATCCGATTTGATGTTTTGTAACAGTAGCAACAACAACAACACGTTCCAACACCACATAATCAACTTTCAACTGCACAAACTGCACATATTCGCCAATGTTTTGCACAAAACACACAAAATGTTATCGGCATTCAAATGAAAAATACGTCAACTTGTGGAATATTAACGGTTATCATCTGTTTGGCTGTAGAAACACGCGCAACGCCCGTTCCTTTGATGATATCACGCAAAACTGAGCGCACTAACTGCTGGAAACGCTTGACAACGTGCCGCCGACTGGCAGCTAACAGCGATTGGTGCGATGCGTGAGACATACGTGAAATAACTGAGCGTCTGAGTCATCGCATCACAGCGCTAAGTTGACTTGACGCGCTCAGTCGAGGTCTGCGCATGCTGCTAGGCGGGTCATAGCGCTTGGAAGTAGATAGAAAACTTGCGGTTAGGTTACAAGTCGAGCAACGAGGAAAGAAACACAGTCAACATCAGTGTATCAACATGCCGCAAACATACACGAAGTATCAAGAAACTCTGCGCCTCTGACTCAGCCGATCGTTTCGAATGCTGTGAGTGAGCGCAAAACGTAAATCGCGATCGGGTACACAAGGCGCCAACTTGCATATGAATGAACTGAATGGCTAAATTAAAACACCACTTTATTATTAATAGTATGTGCTAGACTTGAATATTATGACTCAAGAGTTAAGTTTACGTTAAATGTTAAGTAGAGCTCGTTGCAGATGTCATAAAATAGGTTTTCAGTTAGTTTTGCTCGAGTTAGCTTTAATGAAGGTTTGAAAATTGTTTATTTGTGTACTAAGTGCGCAAAATAAGTGAAATTATGGGAGGGAAGTTGTTTTGATGGTGATAAAATTGACATGTGGCAATTTT